CGTCTGGGATAAAAAAAAAACACTGACTTGAACATCGGCTGGCCCCCGCAAGTCATTGTATAGGCCACATCGCATTCAAACGCCACTGCGAATGTACAAATGGAAGTAGAATGCGTGCCGCATCCCAAAAAGGGATTGATCAACGGCAAATGCTTTATCCTTTTATCCTTTTACTAGCCAGTGACCAAGCCGAGTTCCTGTACCAGTAGTAACCCTAGTAGCCGGTATAGATCACCCCTAATTGGGAACGTACTGCATACTACAGGATGCGACCGCTTTAAGTGGAACTCCCACTTGGAGGCGGATCGCGCCACGGCACGTGGCGTTTGCCAGGGTTACGTCGGCTAGGTGACAATTGCTTCAACGCGTCCCATGTCTCTATTAACCCCTTTGGGGGCTTTTTTAGTAAGCATATTTCCCTTCTTCCACATCTACTTTGTCGTAATATCCTCCGTTGAACTATCGACTCCACACTGTTATCCATCTGTTTCCCTTCGCGCAAAACTCTAACCTATTATGGAACCCCAGATGGACGGATTATCCCGTTGAGCGAATCGAGCCAGTTTCCGCTAATGTGTAAAGATGCACAAGAAGCCAGTCCATTTGTTAAGAATGGCCAAGTAGGGAAAGAACTAAAGTATGGATTGCTTCCCGCAGGGAAACAAATTAGCGAGGAACAACGAGGGTTGTTCCGCATCCAAAAAAGCCCTCTTGAGAAGACGGGGAACAACTGCACGTCCGAGGCAGTTTGATTGCCATGAATAATTGAGACAGACGCCCTTGAAATAGTTTGTCTTTGTGGAGGACACGAAGAAATGCGTTCCCTTCCGCTGCAGGATGAAAAAACGACGGTCAAATACCCAGGGGGTGTTTGAAAGGAAATTAAGGAGGTATTGCGAAATTTCATAAACGAGAAGCCTTACTTGATAGTCAACAATAGAAAATCCTAGTCCTCGCTCGTCCTTTTCAAGGCAAACCACCAATGGGACACAGTTCCACACGGCCAGTCCCGTCAACGGCTCGAGCGAACGTGCCCTGAGTCGGCGAGAAACCTTCTGGAGCAAAACGTCAGTGTTCGAGGCCAGATCCGGGATATTCACCTCGGATTTTGCCTGAAATTGAATTGCCTGATTCAGGGAGGGACTTTAGACAACGGCTCAAAACACTCACCTTAACGATCTTCTCATGTCCGGAAGCGAGCAGAGGATACGAGGCTGGAAGACTTTTTTCTGAGGTAGGCTGAAAGACGTTAACATGCTGCGTTCGTCGGGCTACCACCAACGTCACAGGGGCTCCAGAATGTACGGCTCGTGAAAGGGCTTGTCGAATGGTCACGTGCGATTCACCGTACAGTATCGAGTGGTTCACCTAAAATTCTTAGGGTTATTAGGGTGTTCGCTGGAGAAAAGGAGGGTGTTCAGTAACTTGTAGCAATTCATCGCCGGCCTGCAGCATTCCTGACGCGGCTGCTGGACCATTGTGTCGGATGGATTCGATATAATGATGGGGGCAAAGCTGATGGCCATTCACCACATCGACGGTTCCTGAATAATTGAGTACGATTTGCGTCATGGTATTCCGTGCTGGCAGAAAATCGATGAAGAATTAATAATTAATAGAAAATTATAAAGTAAAAAGTACAAGGTATAAATAAATAAATATGGATTACAAAAATAAAAAAGTGAAAATGAAATTACGTTTACTTGTTTGTTTGTTTGTTTGAGTTGCCCTCTGGCGATAAAAATAAAAACGTGAAAATAAAATTATGTTTGTTTGTTTGTTTGTTTGTTTGTTTGTTTGTTTAAGGTTGCCCTCTGGCGTCTTTGAACAAGAAGCGGAATAAAATAAAAAAAAAAATAAGACACGTATGGAAAGGAGGTGGCAGATAAATTTTCCCAGAAGAAAGAAAGGGAAAAGGAATTTGTAAGTTCTTCGCAACCTAACGCTGTGCAACAGCTAAAATAAAGAAATGAATAAACAAAAATTGGTAAACAAATTTGGTTAGTACCGGGAGACGATGCGTTAAATATCCTCACTCTACGGGGAAGAATATGGGGATCTGCAAAGGCAGTTCGGTTTGCGAAAAAAGTGACAATAGCAACTCACCTTCCAAGGAGATGCCAAGACCTCCGTCACCAGCTCGATTCGAATCCGGTCGAATAATTGTGGTGATAATATCGACGTCATCTGACAGTTTCCGCTTCCATTCGGCCACAAGGCTTGGATTCGACGACTGGACGTCGATCACCTGAGTCTCCGTCTCCTGACAACACGATATTTCACTCATTGAGCAGCTATCCTGGGATAACCCCGCCTGGTGGGGAAATCAAGAAGAAGGGTTGGTGGTCCCATAAATCCAAAGTCCAGCCAAAATCCCCGTGGAGCAGTTTTACTGAATATTTTTTATAAACCCCTTTGAGAAAAAGCATGTCTATGGCGTGCAAGGCGATTAATGTGATGTGGGACCCTCGAGGCCAATCGGAGGCGCATTTTTTGCCATCAAAATTTCAATGGAACTGAAACATGTGTCGCAGTTTCGGGAAGAGGTTTTTCAGTCATTTTTTGACGACCAGTAGGACATTGAAGGGCATTTTTCCGCTGTCTTTCGGGAGAAGCTCTGAAAGATTTGCCCAATGGAATGTCAAAAGGACAATTACCCCATAAAAACGCATCTCTGCAAAGCCAAATGGCCCATTTTCCATTTGCAGCTGTGACCTACGATGGATTAGATGAATTAGGGGCACTGAAAGAGTACCGTCTACGTGTGCTTTAAGAAATGTGGTGGAATTATTACATGCACTAGGAGCATTAGGGTATGTCCTTTAAAGGCAAGATTCGCGTTTAGACTAATGAGGTGAATTCTACTCAAATGTGATGTAGGGGCGGGAAGGTGGACCGCCAGTGGAGAAAAAAGGAAAAAAATCATGAAATACACAGGAAATACGAGCCTTTTGCTCTACGTTGCGGAGAAGTTCAAAAGGCCGGCAGGGAGATGAGAGATAATGTGAGCGCGGAGAGCGGTAGAGAAATCCGAGAAGAGAGAGCATAGCAGATCAGCATTGCGACGCAGACAAAATATCGAGCGGTGGGCGGAGCGTGTCGCAACAGGAGGAGCGTGTCAAAGTCCTTGGCCCCTAGCGCCTTAGTGACGCATTTGGATGCGGGAACTTGGCGAGTCGCCTGCAGCTGCGTCCCATGCACTTCTAGCCACTTTAAGGGCTTATTAGGTGGGTCTGAGCCGAACTTTGCCTTTCTCTTTGTCCCACCTACGAGCAAAATTCTTACATTTGTGGCATCGGGAAGGAATTGTCTGTTCTCCAGAGGAGTGTGTTTCCCCTCCACTTTCTTTGCAAACTCGCTAATTTCAAGGCCTATAAGTCGGCATAAATAAGCCAAACCGCCAAATAGCCCTAGTTTTCTCCTCTGCAAAAAATCGATAATTGATTAACACATTACTTGGTTACCGATCTCTTCTGAAGATTCCGTTAATGGGCTGTCGGAAAAGCCTTGTCATCTTTCTTTTCGAATTGTTTTTTGGATGACCGTTACAGCTAGCTGATCCGATCATAGGACGAACATGAGCATGACCGTATAAGGTCGCTAAGGTTCCGAAAATATCACGGCGATTGCAAAAAGCAATGGGGTCTACTGAACATCTATGGAAACAAAATTTACGGATGCATCACGCCCGGACTGAATAGAGTTTCCAAAGAGAGGTGGATGCATAGCGAATCCTAAAGGGAGCGATCATGCACAAGTATTTTATTCGCTATCTATTAATTCATTCTGACTTCCTTCTAAACCTCCGAAGGAATGCGCTCCGTGGGGCTCAAAAACAGCGTCAGAAATGGAGTCAACGAAGGTGTAAACCAATTATTCCGCAATGATTTGATTCTCAACAAAACCAGATATGACTTTTTCTCTATTTCTCAGACTAATTCACAAAGAACAGAGATGACAGAGCGGAGGTGGTGTGAAGGCAATTGGCGTTGTTTACCACGCGCACAGGCCGCAAATCAGGTCCTGGTCGTACCGCATCGGGGCCAGCGACATTGTGGGACCAACCCAGCTTTCTGCCCCACAGTGTGGCTTTTGCGTAGACTTGTCTGGAAGTATAAA